AGAGGCTACAATTACAGCAGACAATAGGCGGAGTGTAGAGTCATCGGGCGGCAGCGATTCTGGATTCAATTGATCCGGGATTGGTCCCAGTGTGGGGCTCATTGTCCTAGACGCTGCTACCGGGGGCCCTCCTTATATACATCCAGAATAGATTAAAGTACGGGCCTCAGACGCCTCTTTGATGCCGACAAGAATAGGACAGAATAACGCAAGTAAACCCCGGTGTAAATGAGAATTCTCTGCCGTTTTGTTGAAATGACTGTAGAGGCGATTGTAATCACATAACGGATGCTGCACCTTACTTCTACACTTTATTATGTTACGTGGGTGTGAAGTTTACTTAATTGAGAAATGTTCTAAATTAGATACACTTGATGCCTCCTCCCTTAACCTTACCGAAACGAAAAGTCACGGCGTGAGGTGGTTATTTTAAGCTCGCACATTTCTTCCCGTTTCCTTATTTTCATGTCAACCCTATAACAACATTATTACATGTTTCACGGACATTCGCCAAGTCATTATCTAATTTAATCGAATTATGGGCCAAACTGTAAATTAAGATCTTTGTCGCGACTATATTTTGTTTAGACACCGGGCATAATCACCGGAGGGCGATAACTCGATAAAGCTGACAATGAAAAGAATTCTGACGGTCGAACAAAATCCGGACGGAGCACGGCTGACTGTCAAATTCATGCGCCACTCGAACAACACGGCACGGCGTACCGTTCGTTCAAAACTCTCGCCGTCGTCGGCCCGTTCAATTAAAACGAATGAGTGGTGCTTAGTTAGGATTTTAGGGATAATAAGGGGCGTCGCACGTTGCCCCGTTAACATTTTTTAGTAACGACCCGCGTGGTTCTTCACGTTATACGTGTCCCGCCCATTCTATGGTATAACACAAGATCAAAACGAAAATATTGAATCCAGGTTGGATTTGGGTTCAAGCAGGTGGCTATTTTTTAATCTGACGTCTTGTTATATTAATAACATGCTAAAAATCTGTATTAAGATATGTAATCGATCTATACTACATAATTTTAACTTTTTGATATTATATCATAATCGATTTTTAAGTGATATTTACTTTTTATTACAGCTTTAAGTAAAAATCTGGCTTCGCATAAATATGTTGCTGCAAATTGTATATACAGCTTTCGAATTCGGAGTTGGATATACATTTTAAGTTATTGAAGTACATTTTTAACTTTAATAGGAGAATTCTAAAATAACAAAGTAGTCTATATATGTAGTATAATAAAATTCGAAATAGAAGGAAAATGTACAGTCAACTCCAAGGTTCTATCCAGTTCTAAAGTCTAAATGAATACCTCTGCTTCTAACGAAAGTGGAGTACTCGACTACATTCATGTAGTATAATAAAATTCGAAATACAAGGAAAATGTACAGTCAACTCCAAGGTTCTATCCAGTTCTAAAGTCTAAATGAATATCTCTGCTTCTAACGAAAGTGGAGTACTCGACTACATTCACCACACTCATTCCATAATGTTTAGCGACCTAGAATAAGGCAATTCTTATAATATATGTAGCACAAAAGTACATCTTTGGTTTTGCGTATATATTCGTATGGCTATTATATGTTACTTTAGTTGCATAGTGCTGAGTGGCTACAAAGATTGGAAAATTAACATTCTGTAGTGTAGTAAATACTACACTACAGAATGTAATATACTATCATATTCTGGGAAAAAGTTTCAGCACACATTTGCAGAAAATTGGTTACAGGTAGTTCTGGCAAAACATATTCAATTATAAAACCAACATTTTAAGATCTCTCTTGATTAACCCAAAAATCAAAGTAATAATTATGTATTTAACCTATATACAAAAGTGTTCTTTTGTAACATAGCAAGCTAAAACGAAGCAACTCTAAAAAGAGGCTACTTTAATTAATAATTGGCGATATTTCCACAAAGATCCTTCAAGAAATGAATTTTATATAGCGAATTTTGCAAGTTATCAATGAAAATTGCAACATCGAAAATTTTATCAAAACTTCAAATATTGTTTTCTCAAAAACTAAAAGCTATTTTTCAAAACGGTTTCGTTCATTGGAAAGAGAACACTTTTATTAACACCTTAGGGAATTTTTAAACTCATATTCCAAGAAATGGATTTTATACGAATTTTTAAAACTTAATCAGCTAAAATTGCAAGATTCGAAAAATTTGTTAATAATTTCAAAAATTTATTTCTCAAAAACTAAAAGCGATTATTCAAAACGGCTTCTTGCATTAAAAAGAGGATACTTTAATCAATAATTGGTGATATTTCCACAAGGATCCATCAAGAAATTAATTTTATAACGAATTTTGCAAGTTATCGATGAAAATTGCAACATCGAAAATTTTATAAAAACTTCAAATATTGTTTTCTCAAAAACTAAAAGCTATTTTTCAAAACGGGTTGGTTCATTGGAAAGATGACACTTTTATTAACACTTTAGGAGATTTTCATACTCATATTCCAAGAACTGGATTTTATACAAATTTTTAAACCTTAATCGGTGAAAATAGCTAAATTCGAAAAAATTATCGATCATTTCAAAAATTTATTTCTCAAGAACTGAAAGTGATTTTTTGTAAAGTTTCAAAAGTCTCGATAACGTCGTTTTGTTTATCTTAGTTCCTCGTTCAGCAATCAACTTGGGTTGGCGAACACGGAACTTGGAACTTGTATATAACGATTTTAAACCATTTTGAAAAGTATTTTAAGCTGCTAAGTAGTATTGATAAGTAGCATTTTTGCTAACTCCTGTAATTACTTGGAAAGCACTTCTATTGAGTCATAATAAGCTTTTTAGACGAACAAAATTTTATACAAGTTTAACAAATAGCTGATTTAAAATTTTAGTTATAAGACCTGTTTAGTTACTGACCTCTTCTGGCGATTAATCAGAGACATTGGTACGATCATTAATTAAGAATTTAGATATTTAAACATTTGGTTAGGCATGATGGCATGAGTTGAAAAAATATATAGCAGCTTTTGAAACTTCCCCATTGCAATCAATAACGACTTTGATTTTGGGTTTTTATGTAGACAAAACTGTTTGGTTCAAAAAAGCAGACGCTAACAATATGGGCCTTAAGATTAATGCCTATATTGTATTGGAATGGTTTGATTAATACTCCTGTCTAGCATTTTATCCCTATTTAAAGGGAGCTTTGTACAAAATCTATGTACTTTTCAAACCTTCACTGAAAAGGGTAACTGAGCGCACCAAAAAAAGAGGACTCATCTGGATACATCTAGTACAAGAAATCGAATGCTATGGGAGTAACTTTATATATGTAATGGAAAAGACATGGAAGGATGTCGTTCAATAGATAAGTTGATAATTGTATATGGCAAGAGGTCATATGCAAAATGAACTAATTAACACCTGAGGCCAAGTTCTAAGAAAACAAATCGTTAATGAGATAAAGAAATATCACAGCTTTTCTATTCTAATGTGTCGAAACGTGTCACATGTCAGTAAAAGAGCTGATGAGTCCATTGGCGTTCGATGTGTTGGCAAGAAAGTTACGATTAAGAAAGAATTCTTAGGATTTCAGCCATTAGATAAGCTTGACTCCGAAACGTGTGTCTTGAGTACGATGAATATGCAACAAAGGCTAGAAAAGAAACGGATGTGCAATATGAAGTGAAAATACTGAATGTAGCTATTAATGACTTATGCTCAGTTTGGGAACTTCAAAATTGTTCCCTAAATATTAAGGAAATCGATTCTTCTTATACGAAGCGAACTGAACGATAAAATATAGGGCCTTAAATCGATCTCTTCAAGGTGTTAGCGTAAATTTTCTTAACGTTACAAAGTACATCGAAATCTATTTTGCAAATATGTATAAAGAAATTAGTCAAATTGTCAAAAAAGTAGGGGTGAAAATTAAAATGCCACAAAAATATAAGTCAAGTCCAACTAAATTTACCAACTTTCTGGAAGAATACTTTCACAAGATATTTTACGTACAAACCGGTTCGAAGAAAATAACCCTCCATCATACGTTTTGAGCTTGGTGCTCTCGAAATATTTAATATTCCCAACAATTTTATTTCGACGAAAACCTTTGTGAAAAAATGCTTACAATATTGTTAAGGGAAGCAAATTCCGTCAAATTTACGTTTTGAAGGAAACTGAATCTTTTTTAACCAATATTTGTAAGATTTTCTTTATTCTGTAAATCCATATAAAAAGTATTCAACTTTTGATGCATATTTTTGTGTATGTAACCTTTAATTACTTTTCAATTTTATAACAACAATACAAACCATTCTTTAGGCAATCCACCAGTGGGAAAAATCCATTTCAACAAACCCTTTTATATCGTCTTGTTATTACGAAGGCAACAAAAGGACGATCTCACACGTCAAAATACGTTACTGTTTCGGTTCCAACCACGGTCCTACAATGCACGGTTCACAATTCACCGTTTTTATCATATTAGATTAGACCCCTTTCAACAACAATCGGCATTATACGCGCGTTGACATGTCTGGATTCTCTTTCGAGAATGATGTAGCAACACGTAATAGGATACACGTCGACTTATAATCTCAGTCGCACGTACACATAGCCCGATACACGTGGAGAATACTCTACACAGAGAGAGGATTCTGTGGCGAGTCTTAAATATGCATGTCTGTACTAATGTGGGTGATTATGGGGAAAATGGAAATGATCCGAACTAGTTTGGTGCTTGAGCGATTCATCTTTGCAAATTCGTCACGCTGTCAAACGCGTTGATTTATGGACTGTTTAGTTTATTAGAGTCACGTTTCCATATACGGGACTTTGCCGCGTCAGTTTAATGTAACTAGAAAATAAACATTTTCTATTGTTGGTTGTATTCTCTATTCTTACATGGAATTAGCACCACTCAACCTTGTAATTACCACTTTTCACGAGCTACTGATTTTCATTTCAATTTTCTTTGATTATTTTAAGGTAAATAAAAAAATAAATAAAACTCGTTAATATTTAAACAATCACAATCTAGTTTATTTATTTTACCCTTATATAATTTACGCACGGATAATTCACTTTACACAACATTATGTTACAGTCTACGGCGCAGGTCGTGTAGATACTCGCTAAAATGTAATTTTTTTAACAATAATTAAATATACGATATATTTAATAATACGCGCGGTTATACCTAGGATAGGTAGATAGGAACGAAAAAATCTTAATAATCGATAATTAGATTACGCTAAATTTATAATTATCGATGATTTGCACTCAAAAAGAATCCATGTCGACGGACACAAGATGGTAATTTTCTTCGAAGAAATAAACAAAAAGAAAAAAATCACATTTTGTTCAGAAATATAACAAAGAGATATAGACGAGATAGTCTAAATAACAAGATGTAAACATATAATATGCGTTTAGGTTTTAAGGTACTTTATACATTTTTTAGGAAATAATAAATTTAATAATTACTTAATAATAATAAACAATATATACATTTATACATTTCAACTATAGCTTTTTGTCTACAAGTATTATTACACGTTGTATAGTTTATCATTATGTAATATGTAATTGTTTTTTTTGCTTACCATGCACCTATTAAATTTATTTATATTTCGCTTGCACTATGTATAGGTAGACTTTTTTTTAAAATGCATTATTTCCATTCATTGCTATGTACGCTTGAGTTGAACAACGAAAAACAAAACATAAAAAAAACATTATTTCGTGTAGAGCTGTCCAAAATCGTGCAGTACTATTTTAAATATAAGTACTTAATTATGATAACTCACGTATCATAAAAGGACTATAAAAGTTTTAGTGTACGAGAAACGTAATGAGTATGTACATGTAAGTATTCACAACCTGTCTGGTCAAAATATTACTGTCAAAGGTCTTCGAAATTCACCACCTGGAGCTTGAGACGGATACTGGCTTGAATATTGACTCATTGGCAATAAGCCAGGCATTGATCCTCCTTGTTGCATCCCGTTTCCGGGATAATAACTCGGCATACCACCTGGAGACGCACCCGCTGAAGACGTGGTCGTCGAACTCGACGTCGAAGCAGCGTCTTGTCTTTCTTGATTGCTCGGCTTCACGTCTGGCGAATCCGATGATCTTGGAGATCCAATATTACCAGAAGAAACTTGTGATTGGCTTTCGTACATTTTTCCAATATCCAGCGAGTACGGTCTCGTCGCTTCCGGATTATATTTTCCATCCATGTACATTTTCGATGATTCAAAATAGGCTTTTGTTAAAGCCGAAGTCGTATCTAAGTACCCTCGTTCTAAATAATTCTTTGATTGCGAGTCCATGTATTTTGGATCAGAATACATGGACATGGCAAGTGTTGATGGTGGCATATAAGCCGAACGGTATTTATCTGCTTCCATAGAATATTTCATTGCATCCATTGAACTCACAACCTGAAATAAAAAGAATCGTCATAAAATTTATTTGTAAAGAGAAATTATTATTTTGCATATCAAAGAATTAACTGAGCAAATCGCAATTAATTTTATAATGTTAGCTTTTAACACTTCGCTGAGTTATTCAAGACTTGTTTGTTTGTTTAAATATGTAAATGAAATCGGTTTCGCTTGTTATTTATAATTGTGATTAAGTCATATTAATAATTGATAATATTAGATGAGTATCATTCAGAAGAATTTTTTGAATGGATTAATAAAAATTTGTGGTACCTAATTTTATAACCCAAAAACCTTTATATTCTACAAATAACAAATTTCACCCCTCATAAAAGTAAGTAGACAATGGGCCGATAAATCGCGTTATTCCCTGGTTTAAAAGCTCTTATTTTTTTGGCCTCCTCCTTCATCTCGCTTCCCCTCGCACTTTCTCACTTCGCGGGGTGTTTATAAAATATGCACCGGGGATAAAACGATGGCGCGTAACGTGGACGTTTGTTTAAATCGTTAAAGCACATTGTGCTCGATGATATATTGTCACTTTTGTCCCGCAAGGTGCTGCTATACTGACGTCGCACAATGGCATAACGTATTACACCGGTTCTTTGTAACCGGACACGAGGATTTTAGAGGAAGGTATATACAGATCGAGAGAAAGAGAGAGAGAAAGTGAAAAGCGGTCCGAGTCCGAAGAGTCGTCGTGGACCCCCGGAGCCCCCAATCCTGGTCTTCGCAGGAATACTTCCTTTTATTGCGAAGAGTTTCTGCCACACGTCCGCGTGTTTTGATTTTTATGGGACGCTAATGAATTATGTCTTATTGATAATTTACACATTCGTAAACACAGATAAAGCTGAATTATGCGAACACGCTTAAAACCTTAAACCATAAGATCCCCAAACCAAAGCTTGATTTAAAAGTATTAAATAAAATATGAATCTCGCATTAAGTAACTATACAAGAGAAAGTTTTACGACCCCAATACTTTTTACGTGTTTTAATTTAACCAATGTTGTTGCTTAGAGTAAAGTTAGAGTTGTATCAAAACAAAGTTTTGGTCAGGTCGGCTTCTATTATTCACGCTTTGGCCAAGCGATACAGGGTCGACCATTGTGTCCATAATTATACTCCATTAAGTAACCCAAAAGCGGTCACAATGGACGTCGTACACGCAAAGACGTCCGAATTTCTGTAAACAGTCCACTTTATTTATCGAAAAACGAACGAAGCCCCCAAAAGGGGCCCATGACAAATAATAACATAGACACCTGGACACGCCGTGTATATCCATCGAGGGCCATGTCTAATGGCGACCTCTCTTCTTGGCGACTGATCGCTTGGCGATGACTTGCAAGAAACATCGAATAAAAACCGGTGCATTAATTCTCACACTTCGTTAGTTACAGCAAACAAATTGCCCGTGTAAGTCGGGGATTACCCCCCAAAAAACCGATGGGCCATCGTTATTGTCATCAATTTTCGTCGATGTCCGAACGTGATTCGATAAAAAAGACTAAAGAAAAAAAAAGAATAACCTTCCCCTAGTTTTCGTTCGGTAATTTATCGACGCAACTTTGAAAACTGATACGATTCTTTATATAATAAAACACTGGTGACGAGATGTTCTTGGAAATTGTAAAGAATCCCTAAACTAAGCACTTTATAAACTTGTTTTTTTTTTGCCATAGAATAAAAATAAAAATAATTTGAATTATTGATGAAAAATTAAAAACAAAATGAAAATTTAAATAATTAAAATTGATTTAAAAACGTTAAAATTCAATTAACAAACTGCACCCAGGAAATAATTTATTCACATCGATCGAATATCGTTAACGTTTTCCAACGAATACAAACGTTAACCGGGACATTAGTCAATTAAAAGAGCCGTGGTAAAATAATTACGGACATTATCCTCGTTCTATAGGACTAAGAACTCCGTTAGATGCCTCGTAAATTTTTCAAAGACCATTCATCCACCTCGACCAGCTGTCATCCTTTACTCTGGCATTACCAATTAAGTCGTATGAATCCGATACCGTACGTTATAATTAACTAAATTAAAGAAAATTATTGGCATTCAACACTATATTTTTCAATCCACATGTCTATTCTCAGCATATTTATTACCCTCAGGTTATTTCTTTATACAGAGACATTTACTCTAAACTACAAATACATGTCACCTGGTTCTTCAGATAATTTTTGGTTTCCTGATACCTTGTCTTTAATCCACATATGTTTATTCTGCTTTTAAAAAGATCCTTTTGGGCATTGGAAAAAATTAAAGAGGTCATATACATAAGAAGATATATATCACCATGTTCAAGAAGTTACCAAATAAAGCATAGAGTAGAAAAGATTGAGTGTAAAAATTATTTGGCTACTTAATCACTGGATACAAATATTATCAAAGTATTTCCAAAAATTACTAGTAGATTAATTTTCATAATTTTTCAAGTAATTTCAAATGTTTCAAAGAATTGAAAAAATTAAGTATTTGGGTTGTATCTGGCTTTTCAAGTGATTTTCAAGCGACTATTTTTAAAAGTTTTTAAAAAAAGATATTCAGAAGGTTATCAAAAACTTTTCTCCTAACGAAAAATTTTCAGGAACTTTCCTAGCAATTGAAGGATATTAACTTTCCAAAAGGTTCCTAAAATAGGTTTTGAAGAATTCTGATGAAATTGTAAGGGTATACAAAGACCTTCAAACCTGTTCAAAGAAGTTAAAGTGTTTCCAAAGGTAATCTAAGATCCTGAAGGGTTTTTTATATTTACATAATATACACAATAGTTTACTAATCTATTTCCAAGAGTTTGTAGATAATATGCTTAGATTTTTAATCATTAGGATTTGAAAGATTTTCAATATTGAGAGAAATATCGAGATTATTCAAGAAATTTAGAAGAACTTTTAAGATTTGTTTGACTGTTTTTTGACTGTTTGAAGTTTTTTGCTGTATTCCAGTAGTATTCTGAAGAATTCCAGTAGATATCCAGACATTTCCAGAAGACGAGTTTGATTACCTGAGATTACAAAGGCTTATGGGGTTTATTTGAAACGATTGCTAATTCTTGGATGACATCTGGTTAGCTTTTAAGCCTGCTATAATTGATTTGAAATATTTTCTACGATTTTCTAGAATCCTAAGAACTTTCTAGGACTTCCAATAATTATCTCAAACTACTAAGAAGGTTCGAGATTTATTTAGGTTCAGCTGAATTTTTTTTAAGTTTCCACAATTCCTTCAGCTATTTTATAAGCGTTTTCTAATGATTTTTGTAGTACCAAGTGAGGTTGGTTAAACCACAGGTGATATAACCAAAGCACTTGGGCCCCGACGGTCCCTTTGTACATCCTCAGGGTTTACTTCGGCCATGTGTAAGTCTATTTGGAGGAGTGAAAGATGTTCGAAATGGAAATAAATTCTAAGGGTTACCTCAAGACTTATTTGGCTGCATCTGAATTTTTAAGAATACTCGTTCATAGATGCTTTTAAGACTTTTCGTGCTCTCTCAAATAGTTTCTAGGTGTCCAAAAGATTTACATACGTCTTTTGCAAATTTGACAAGTTTTTAAATATTTAACGAACTTTTGGCATAAAAGGATTTCTAAGTTTTTTCAAGGAGTTGATAAGTTTCAAAATGTCCTGCATTCGTAAACGTTCCTGTAATTTGATTGAGATTCATGTTCCAGTTTTTGATGGAAGAGATTTTAGAAGAATTTTGTACGGTTTCCAAGCATTTCCAGATGATTTTCAAAGATTACCTATTATTTCAAAGCTTTCTGGGTTTTATTTGAGAAGCACCCAGATCTTCAAATTTGTTTGACAAGATCTCATGTTGGATATTAAAAAGATTTCTAAGGGGTTCTAAAGATTTGTAAGGAATTCGGAGATTTATTTGTATATATCACGATTTCAGAAGTGTATGCAATAAGTCTTGCATGGTTTTCAAATATCTGGTTCCAATTTTTATAAATTGTTAAAAACTTTCAAGGTATTTTTCAAGGATGCATCTGAGGTTTTATGGGTTTTTGTAGAAGGTACCTAGAAAATTTACAAGCAAGAATTTGTATGAGATCCAAAAGTTTTGTATCTATAAGGATTCCTGCAATTTTTTGTGATACCTCTGGCTTTTCAAATATTTGCAGTATAATCCTAGATATATTTCAGTATTTCTGGAATTTGATCTATTTTCTCCACCTATCTAGAATACTTCAAGTAATTTTAGGAGCACTTCCTGAGAATGTGAAACGGTTCCAAGCCTGAGTTTTCTAAGGTTCTTTTTTGGGAATTACATTCTTTGAAATGATTTGAAAGATTGGAACGGTTTTTCTAGAAGTTTTAAGGATTTGTAAGGAATTTACAACCATTTCCAAGGTTCTTGGGATGGAATATCAAGATTTGCAGAGCGTTTTTAACAATTCTTAGAAAACTTCTTGTTAGTTTCCAAGTATCTTCTAATGATTTGAAAAAATTTTCCAACCTAACCCAATCCCCCGAGTATTTTGAAGAGTTTCTAGAAAGCATATCCAAAGCCATTCCTAACAATTTTTAGTGTTAAAAAAGATTATCTGGAATTTCTCAGGGTTGTTTGGGTTGGAATCAGAAACATGTGCCAGACTATTTCAAATTCATCCACATTTATGAGGAGTATCAAAGTATTTCTAAAAATTGCTAAAAAATCTTTAATCTTTGTTTGAGGATGTTCAAAGATTTCCAAGAACTCCATGAGATTTCTAGGAAAGTTTGGATTTACTAAGATAAATTTAGACTTTTCAGAGTCTTTCAGAGATTTCCATTTCTTGACGATTTTCAAGAAATTTCAATAATTGTCTGAGATTAGACAAGTCAACATTAACATTTATTTAATTTTAGAGAAAACCTTATAAAAAGCTACGAAGCTAACAAAAAATTTCTGTAAAAAAGTTGAAATAGTAACGAAATAAAATTGAATCTGACGTCTTTCGACCTCGAGATTAAAGTGCCTCCTCGGCTCATTAAACATAAGCGTTAAAGCCAAGATGAATACAATACTTTTTAACAAAAACGATTAATTTGCCACAAACAACCACGGTATTAACATCAACCTTGAAATTGTAGAGACCTGGCAGAAAGTAAGTATCTTTAACAAATCTCTACTATCTCTAATCTTTAATAAATCAGAGAATCTTTCAGCTTTGTGATTTCAACACAGCTGAAAGCGAGCTTATAGCTAATGATTTGGTATATTTGCTAATACAATAACCAGTAACTGACCTAAATATGTAATTATAGAATAAATTAGATCGTTTCAAAAAGATAACATTCATAACACAAAACTACTTAATTTTATTTTGATTTATTAGATTGTATTAATATCTTTTTCGGCAAACTGAATTAAAGCAAAACACTGAATGGACCTCGTTCGTTATAAAGAAGTAGATAAGATTTGGTCTTTGAATGACGTTGGTTAATACGAAAAACGCGTCAAATTATAATATGTAAATATAGCATAGGACAATTTATTCGGGCGTTGTTATTCAAATGAGGGTTGCATAAAGAGAGAGAGAGAAAGACGTTCGGGGGGAACCATTCAGCGTTAAGATACGATTGGGGCCCACGTTGACACTCCGAACTTCTGACAAAGATTATTAAATCAGGATTAGCGGTCTGTTTGTGAGTTTGTGACTGGTACCGAGGACCTCTTCGTGTGATATAAGCAAGCATCGTCCCTCTCTGTCCTACGATCCAACCGAAGGGAGAAAGAGGAAAAAATGAAGTAAAAAAAAAATAAAAGGCGAACGACGTTGATTTGTTGGCTATCGTGTGGTTTCAGGAATGTTCGAAGCGACTATGAATATACGATTTAAAAAGAACTAAATATTTTTACCACATTTGTGTCTACTATCTCAATTTCAACCATCAAAAATAAGCTTATTTTTTGTTATTAAAATTTAATTTTTACCTGTGCGGGTGCAGCAAGTCCAGACATTGCTGCTGTTTGTTGGGCTGCTGCAGCTGCTGCTGCCATAGATGCTGCACTTAAAGATCCATAAGCCGCTGATGGATTGTAATAAGAAGCCATTGATTGTCCCATACTAGAAGCTGCCATACCTGAAACAAATTTTAAAAAAATTTTTGTTAAAATCCTCAAAATTTATCAATTTTTTGTAACTCTATTACTATTAATAGTGATTAAAGTGATTCGCACACACTCAAGAATTAACCCGAACGAACACTTATATGAATGTTTTAAAGTAAATTGCTCTTAGCACGTTGCCTGTCCTTTTCGTGCCGCTTAAGTGCATTAAAACAAAACGATCAAAACGTCTACTACTACAAGCAATATACCGTAGATTGGCGCGTTAATCGCGAATAACACTCAAAAGTAGCATTTCCTGTTAAATGACCCGAGTCGGAGTGCATTTAAATTGACTGAAAGCTACTAAAAGGTTCCTCCGACTGCCCCTATTCATAATTTAATAAGTGCGTTATAATTAAAAGAGAGAGGACCGAGACGCGTAACGACGCTTTAAGCTTCCTTACGCAAAAAATATGCTAATTAACGGGCCTTAAATGGCCCGCGAAATTGTCTCAATTAAAATTCGAAAACTACTCGTATTAAAAATCGAAGGAAAAAAGGTGAACGTTTAATATTTAAATTGCGAGATGAACTTTTAATTATAAAAGTTTCGTTCTCAAGTAAGGATTATTATTGACTGTAGCTTTCTCATAATTTTTTTTCATGTCAATCTTTTTTTTTCTTAATCCGATGGTGACATCGAGCTAAAGCGCTTTTATAACGACCAATTAGAATGTTGTAAATGTCTTCTTCAGCTTAAATTTTACGATCGTTAATTTTTTATTGTTACTTCTGTTAGTTTAAAGTGTGTGTTTATAAAAGTTTATACATCGTGCTAAAACAATCTTTTATCGTATAGCTATGTAATTAAAAATTGAAAATGAACATATAAGTTTATTTGAATTTTATTTATGTTAAATCAATCAATTCAAATTTTCTTTTCTAAAACAAATTTTATATAAATAAATTTGAATAAAGTACTTAGAACTGAATCACGAAAGCTTGTACAAAAAAAAGTTAAGGTTATTCATTTATTACTACGTAATTTCAAAAAATTTTTGCAGTAAGACAAAAATAATTGCAAAATTTTGTGCTCCAACAAGTAGTTTGCTAAATCAACGCAAAAAATTACACTATATTGAAAAAAGCAACCTGACACTGATAATTCAGGGCTTAGCTTCAAATATTTTACTTCTTGTGTTTCACCCAAGGCAGCTTTATCTTCTGAAATGTCGTTCTTAGATGCATCCAAGTATTCTTTATTTCAACTACCACCATCAGCTGTGTTTCTATCAGCACATATGCTTGGAGAAGCTGGTCCATAGTGTGTACATCTGACTTAATTCTGTTGTAGTCAATAATTATTTGTGGCATCTCTTTTGCATCTTCAAAAATTTCAACCTTATTGTGCATAGGTGATAGCAAAATAATAATCAATCAACGAACTTGAACTTTTTGGACATTAATCATCTCATCAGGCGACTCTTTATTGCTATGAACAGCCTCAAAAATAAACAGTAAACCTACATACGCTAAAATTTGGGACAATCCAACCTCAACCACCGTAGTTCCGAGAAAAATATATTTTACTTCATCTTTATCAATGTAGAATTGAATTGATGCACTTTTAAATTGATTAGAACCTCTGAAAATTTAAGCACGTTTTGATACTTTACTTCATGTATGGAAGCAGCACTTCCACTTATAACTCTCTTGGAATTGTCCCTACTACACAAATCATATCGCAAACTGTTGCCAACAATTTTAAACAGTTTTCTCCCATTTCCTAAAACATTTCTGCTTTAAACTGGTCATAATATACCGCCTTTCATGACTTTTCCTACACTTCAAATGATTGTAATAATCGTTTGCAATTTTAATAATTAAATGTTTAAAATATTAAAATCACCTGGCACTTTGGTAATCGAAAAGTAAATAATACAAGGTTTTGGGAATGGAGTGGTTAACAATTTGTCGTTAATTTGAAACCCTGCATGGAAATACAGACCTCCGAGGGTAAACACCTTGCGAGAAAATGTAAGAAAACGACAAAAAAATACGGCAATGTGCTAAAAAGGAAGTGGTCCACAGTGTCGCATTAGATGACAAAACAAACAGAAGTGTTGTGTTAGTGTAAACACGTTAATAAACGAACAAATAACGTTGTGTGCACAATAATCTTTCCTCAGGTAGCATTTGAAATGAATTCGTTATACAAAATATACAGTAGCTGGGTTTTATTCGCTCTTTTGGTTTATGTTTTAGAAAGTGGTGTATAGATTTATCTAAAACGATAAAAAATCAATGGGATTTAAAAAGTAATAATATAACCAAAAAAAAAAATAATTGGTGACAATTGATCCCAAGCACTCTCCGGGGTCAATTTTCACGTACCCGCTAAACGATGAAATTACTGTCAGACCAAGAGACCCATTAATAACCCAACACATTCCACACTTCGGCCTCTTCTCCTCGAAGTCTCGATCTTTTACACAAGAAGAGACGAAAAGAGGGCGAACATGTAAGAAAGAGAGAAATAAAAGGGCGTGTTATGGATGTTACTTCTCGTCTTTCTCTTCTTCTTTCGATCGCGCAGAACGCACGTCTCTCGTATATGAGACGGCGCATTTAGGTGTCAATCATATCTCGTTTAGGCCCAAGATTTGACAGCCAAGATTGGTATACATAGTGATTTATAGCGTTGCAGCAACAGTGAAGACAGAAATGCCTGTAAGTGACAGATGTGTACGAGTATAATTTCGTATTTCGAAGGTGTGATTATCGTTCGGCGAGTTAAAAATGATGACTCTATCGCAAGCTTTTCCTTCCTTCTTTTCTATCATCGGAGACGACCAAAAGATCTTGGACATTCGTTATTGCCTCTGGACTATAATTGATGGGTGATTAATACCCTTTTTTGGTTGTTTAGATTATCTCCCAGTTGATTATTATTGATCGATTGATACTGGACAGCGCGAATGGTCAACTAACAAGCTTTATTGCTCATTGTTACTAATGAGGCTTTAAAATGATGGCTTTTTAAATGTTTGAGCTATAGTTATGAGTTTATAAAACAAAATTGATTTAAGTTATTTGCATTTATACTTCGACAATACCATTAAATCATAATTAAACAAATCTAATTAATTTAATTTTGTTGATTCATAAAAAAAATTTTGCATGCATAAGAAGCTCCCACTGTTATTTTAGATCAATAACACGGTGTGTCCGACACGTTACTCCACGATAAATAGCGAGCTATAGCGTGTCCTGTCAATACTTGTCATACGAAACGTAGCACAACTACTTCGTTTTTCTTTTAGCGAGAGCCCAACTCTAACCGAAACTACCGTAAAATATCACTTTATTATGCTGATTTGAAACAATATGAGCTTTTGTGCTGAGCAGGGTGCTTTTCATGTTGTTCGTTTTATTTTTATTTCTTGTTCTTCTCGAACCGAAAGGTCTCACCGGAGAACAACGAGAAGAACGGACGCGCACAAGCAAATCACGAGAGTTAATTCAGTATTTGTTATGCAAGTCACGATTGGTACTATTTCAATATGTGTACGGTTAAAAGAAAAAGGGAGGGTTAAAAAATGTTTTTGTTAAAAGAATGAAATGAAAAGAAGGTTGGGTTAATTAAAAATAAATTTAAGTATTGATTAAAACATGTTTCATAAATAGATTTTTTTTAGTATCTATGGGACTTCGACTATTTATTATTTAGTTTAACTGTAATTATTTGTAAGTGTTAGATTATCACAACTCATTCTGGAAGATTTAGAAGTTTATAAATAAAACAAATATTAGGAGATTTGCAAATAATTTCTAAGTGTTCAAACATAGTTACAAAATCCTGCTTAACATAACATGCAACAAAGTTATGGTTTGAATAGGTTAGGTTATGGTTCTATGTTGTGTTTTATTTTCTTGTCATACTTCCACAAAATGCAAATCAAGAACAGAATATTCTCAGTAAACCTCTCTAAAAGATGCAGGCATGTTCCACAAGATGGTGAATCTTCAAGAAATATCAGAACCTTGATGGTTCTATGAACTCAAAACTTCAAATATTGTTTTCTCAAAAACTAAAAGTTATTTTTCAAAACGGGTTGGTTCATTGGAAAGAGGACACTTTTATTAACACTTTGGGAAATTTTTATACTCATATTCCAAAAAATGGATTTAAACGAATTTTTAAAACTTAATCGGCGAAAATTGAAAAATTCGAAAAAATTGTCGATCATTTCAAAAATTTCTTTCTCAAAAACTAAGTGATTTTTCAAAACGGCTTTTTACATTAAAAGGAGAATACTTTAATTAATAATTGGTGACATTTCCACAAAGATTCCTTCAAGAAATTAATTTTATAGCGAATTTTGAAAATTATCAATGAAAATTGCAACATCGAAAATTTTATCAAAACTTCAAATATTGTTTTCTCAAAAACTAAAAGTTATTTTTCAAAACGGGTTGGTTCATTGGAAAGAGGACACTTTTATTAACACTTTGGGAAATTTTCATACTCATATTCCAAGAACTGGATTTTATACGAATTTTTAAAACTTAATCGGCGAAAATTGCAAAATTCGAAAAAATTGTCGATCATTTCAAAAATTTATTTCTCAAGAACTAAAAGTGATTTTTCAAAACGGCTTTTTGCATTAAAAAGAGGATACTTTAATTAATAATTGGTGATATTTCCACAAGGATCCTTCAAGAAATTAATTTTATAGCGAATTTTGAAAATTATCGATGAAAATTGCAACATCGAAAATTTTATCAAAACTTCAAATATTGTTTTCTCAAAAACTAAAAGCTATTTTTCAAAACGGGTTGGTTCATTGGAAAGATGACACTTTTATTAACACTTTAGGAGATTTTCATACTCATATTCCAAGAACTGGATTTTATACAAATTTTTAAACCTTAATCGGTGAAAATAGCTAAATTCGAAAAAATTGTCGATCATTTCAAAAATTTATTTCTCAAGATCTGAAAGTGATTTTTTAAACTTTTTGCATTAAGA